TCCATGTCCTTGAATTCAACCAAGCACTGTTTGGAAAAAAATTTTCAGTTGCATCTGCAGTGACCATGTAAGACTGTTCTTCCTTGCACAATTCTCTAAATAATGCAGTGTGACAGCCACTCACATAACATTTCCCTTGAGGCCGGTATTGCAAGTGCAGAACGCCTGCAGGTTATCTGGGAACACCGTGCTCTTTCAAATAAGGGCTGTGAGCGCCGTGGACGTGGTTACTCTCAGGTCCTGCACCCAGCTCCCTGCAGACACCGTGGGTGACACATGCGTGATGTCAAACTGCAGGTGTGCAGATGCTCACGGCATGCAACCAGTGTGGGCGGGAGGGGTGCGGAGGCAGGTCCGACGGGGCCACCGGGACCACTTTTGCCTTGAATATCTGTTGTTTTGTTCCGCTTTGTCTTTTTTTTTTTTTTTTACCATAATGTGTCCTTTTTACAGTAAAGTAACATTAAATTGAGAATGTCGTTATTTCCTTTAATTGCGGTTTAGATACACCTCCCCCACCACCCACGGATCCGACCAGCGCACATCAACAGTGTCAGCGAGGGCTTTGAAAGCAGGCTCTGTGCAACTGGCAAGCTTAAAGGCGCGTGTGTAGCGGCGTATTCAGGCTTGAAATACAGTTGCCACTATCATGCCCATTTTACAGATGAGGATGTAAGCACAAAGAGGCTATAGGTGGTCTGGCGCTATACAGCACCCCAGACGCCTCATGTTCTTCAGGCTTCATTGTCAGGTGCTGGAGGGGTTGTGGAGAGACAAAGAGAGGAAGGAGAGGTGGCACCAGATGCGGGGTTTGGGGTTCTCTCTGGTAAAGGTTTTTGGATTTGGGGCGGCTGGGATAGAGGCAGGTGCCAGATCTGGCCACCAGGGGGCAGCAGGAACCAAGGCGCTGACCTCTTCCAGTGTTCCAGGTCGGTGCAGGCCAGAGGAAGCAGGTGGGCTGTGCATGCAAGTTATCAGGGCAGCTGAGTGTTGCCTGGCCATCTGTTCCTCCTCCACTGCTGTCACCACCTTTCATCGGGAAGAAGATGAGGCCCAGGGTACAATCAGGCGGCAGTGGACTGACAAGGGCTGGTCCGAGTGATTCCACTGAGCCACAGAAAGGGAGACTGACGTGGGTGAGTGGCACAGTGAGTGGTTAGAAGTCAAGTTCCGATCCTGGCCACCTGACACCGTGGGCAAGTCCCCGGGGGCGTCTCAGGCCTGCTTCAGGGTTCCGGTGAGCTCAGGCCTCCCTGCCACCGGGGCTCAAAAACTTGCTGGGGTTTTTTTGTTTTTGTTTTTCGCTCTTTTGGTTTTTAATTAACTTTCGTGGGAAAATAGTGTCAGAAAGACTTATCAACAGGATGTTAAGGGAGGTACTGCTTCAAAAAAAAATTCATTTTGTGACTGCCCACAGCGGGCCAGGTGCCGGGGCAGAATGGGGTTTCCGGTGGTTTTTAACTTTCCTCTTTAATACCTTTAGGTTTTGTCTGAATTGGAAAAGGCTTGCGCGTGCCAGTTTAAGAATTAGAAAAATCCAATAAGCAGCTTTTTGTTAAATAATAATAATTTAAAAAAAGCAAATGCACTGGTTTCTCCTGGGCCCCTGTTTTTGTAAAGGCAGGGTTGAAGGTGCGTGATACCAGGGAAAAGGCCCCTCAAATCAGCTCCCTTGGAGGTGTCAGCTGGGTCATTTTGGAGGGGACTTGGTGTACTAACAGTCTCCTCTGAGACTGCCCCAGGGGATGTTTCCTGCCCTCTGCACCTCTGGTCCAGCACAGTGAGGGGCACTGGGGGACTCCTGCCCCGAGCGCGTCCCTCATGCACACCCCTCCTGCCTCCGCTGGGGCCAGAGCAGCCTGTGTTGAGCCCAGATGCGGTGCCAGCTCCCCTTCTCTGTGTCTCTTGGGGTAATCTCTTGGTGTGATCTTCTTTTTTTCACCCCTCTTCTGTCTTTCCAGAACTTTCCTCTCCTCTAAGCTGAGTCAATAGAAAAACAGCATATAGGAATATTTGCAAATTTAATCATTTTTAAGTGTAAATGTTAATCGGTTATGATTAAGTGACAAAGTTAAAGCTCTCAGTCATACATTTCGAGGGCTAGAGGCCACCTCGTGAAACCATTTCTTCTGCGATCTGAATCTGCCTTATCCCCTCCGAAACAAATGCTGGAGTTTAACACTTATCATGAGGAATTAGGAGGCAGGAAACTTAACTATGGTGTCTCGGGGTGAGGCCTTTGGGTTAGACAAAGTCATCAGAACGGAGCGTCATGACTGAACCCTGGTGGCTTCGTGAGAACACAGAGGCCTGAGGACGCTCAGTCCTGGTCTCTCACCACGTGACACCCTGTGCCTCTTGAGAACTCTGTCCAGAAGAAAGCCATGTGCAGATGGTCCCCTTGACCTTGTACCACAAGCCAAAATAAATCTCTTTTGTTTGGAATGTGCTCAGTCTGTGATACTATGTTATTGGCTATAGACAATGGACTAAGACAAGTTCCACGTTAGCAAAAAGTTCGATTGGATGGAGCTATTGTAGACATTCATTTGTTTGACTATAAAACCTTTTCCTGAGAATGTTCTTGGAACCGCTGTCCTCTCTCTGTTTCTCTTTTCTTTTGAATTCCCTTCCTGCAAATTTGAAATAAAACTGTGATCCATGCTCATAAACACATTTGTTTGCTTTAACAATTCTCTCTCCGGGAAAAATTGCTCCATAAATAATTGGATGGAGGTCTGAATTGCCAGATCTATGGCCAAGGCATGTCCAAAATGGGGACGCTCAGGAATAAGCCTGAAAGGATGGGGCTGGCATCACACAGGCTGCTGAGGGTCCCGGTCAAGATCAAGCACAGGCAGCCGGAGCAATGGGGAGCAGGCCAATGCGGGGGTTGAAGGAGGCCTCGGACCACAGCCAGAGCAAGAAATCTAGATTTCTAGGCCATTTGTACCCTTTTGCCCTTGTCACCTGTGCCCCTGCCAGGAGAGAGGATTCCAGGGAAATGACACGCTACCAAGGGCGACAGCCTGCAAGGCAGAGTGCCTTATCTTCCCTGTTTTTAAAGGAGAAAATCTCAGGGGCAAGCAGGATGAAGCAGGCAGGCTCAGAGAGCTAGCCTGGGGCCTCACACCCCAAAGTCCGTTGGGGTTCCTGACGGATCCAGAGACCAGTGCACGGGAGGTGAGAGACCAGACTGTAAGGAGATTGTTAAAAAGTAAAATTATCAAGGAAATTCCAAGGAAGATTCTGGCATGATCCCGTCTTTCCCTGGTGTGAAGCAGCTCATTGCTGGAGGGAGTCCAGGGTGACAAATAGCAACTAGGCTTCTAACCACCCCAGCCACTGCTGCCAGCAGGAACCTTAGTCCTCCAACTCTGCAAGGTGGAGGGAGCGTTTTGTGAGGAGCACATCCCATGCCTGCACGTCTTTAACTGCCTGCTAGTGTAGGTGGGTTAAGCTTGGAGGGAATGTGCTCGCTTCAGTAGCACATCATCGAAGACTGGGGTGGCTGACGGGAGCTTGGTTTCGATGGGGACAGGGCTAATGTGCATTCAAAACAAAATATAAATTCTTCACTCTGGCCCCATTATGCCCCAACCTCACCTCTACCATCACCACCCTAGTCCCTCGTTCACTTCTCCGCAGTTCACCTTTGCATTACAAGCCAAAGTCCTTATGCCTCAGGCAAGGCCTTTGCACATGCTATAGCCTCCACCTGGCATGTTCATCTTCACGTCTCCCATATCAAATGTCACCTCCTCAAGGCTTCCTCGAGCATGCTGCCCCCACTGCCCACCTCAGATCACCGTTTACTTTCTTTGTTGATGACTCCAGCAAAGGAGCTCCAGCCTGAGGTCCCCTGCCAGGCCCTGGAGCCCATTTCATCATTTGATCTGCCTGGGCTGTTGAGTGTGGACAGCCCGCAGCTTGTGCGATGAGGACACTGCTGGACTCAGCCAGGGGCCTGCTGGGACCTAGCTGTGTGGACTTGGCCAGTCTCCGGGCCCCCACTATGTCTCCTTGATGTGTCCTCTGTGTGAAGATTTTGCCCTGAAGCAGCTGAAGAGCTGGGGAATTCATCCCCTGGCAGTGACAGCCCTTTGCCAAGATAAACGCCTGGCTCCCTCCCCTGGGTAGGTGAACTCTGGGCACCGGCCAGGCATGGTCTGCAGAGCTTCAGGAGGGATTAGGTATCTGCCTCCCACACTGGTGACCTATTTACAACACACGTCTTGCCTGTTAATGTTCCCTGACTTGTTTCCCAGCCTTGGCACGGGGTTCCAGGATCACTTCCCGGAGAGGCAGAGGCAAGGACAGGTAAACAGGCAGTGACGGGTCAAGAGTTGAGAAAAACCAATACATAAAGGTCTCTGCAATCCCCGCCCTCCCAGAGGCCCCCAGGCATTTGCAGAACAAAAAGTACGTGGCCCTGGCCCGTGTCCAGCCTCATCTGCTTGTAGTTGTGACCACCCCACACCTTCCCAGTGGGCTTGGGATGCCATACGCTTCCTGGAAAACCCTTGTATGGTTCCTCTTGATGGAGGGCTGAGTCAGGTGCCCTCCAGGTCAGGACTTCACGGCTCCCCAGCTGTAGATCTGCTCTTACCCCTTCTAGGCTGGGTGCTCTCTTCACTAGCCCACCCCCACCACGTGGAGTTGTGCACCTTTGCTTTTTAAGACAGCATCAACAGTCCAGGCTGCCCTGAACTTGCGGCTCCTCCTGCCTCAGCCTCTTGGGAGCTGGGATTACAAGTTGTGTGCCACCATATTCACCTGCTTCTTTCACTTTCAATAAACCTCACTCTCTTGTGACTCTGAGTGTCCTGATCAGTTCTTTGTTCAGGATACCAAGAACCTGGAAATAACTTCCCTGGGACCTGATGCCACAGCTTCAAAAACCTCCTGTGCCCTGGTTCCTCTGGATAGGAAGATTCCAGGAGTTAATAAAGTCCTCACTGTAGAACCTGGCAGCAAGTTGGTTTAATAAACAAAGAAAATAAAGAGACAAAGAAACTTTATTTATACAAAACTCCAACCCAGTCCTGTTCCACCCTCCCCAGCAAATAGGCAGGTGATGCCACCGTCCTGGGGTGCACACAGGCAGCTCTCTGCCGGGCCCACCTTTCCCAGCACCTGTGGCCTGGGTGCTGGTACATAGTGCCTGGGGTCTAAGGCAGAGACTGCCTAGCCCCAGCTGGACTGCAGGACACCTGCGTCTGCTCTCTCTCCATGGCTGTCAACAGCAGTGTCTACTGAGACAGTCACAGGGAGCTGTGTATTTAGAGGCCTTCGAGGGAGCCCCAACCAGAGTTGTGTGCAGGTACCCGGAAGCAACCATTACTGCTTTGGGAATCACAATGGTTTCATCCTTCTGCCTCCAGCACTGTCCCAAGATTACTGTGCAAAGTAAGTGGGTGCCTCTGCACCCTGAACATCCTCTGAGACCCCGACTTCTACCCACTTCCAAGGCCTCCCAAGTCACCCCTTGTTGGCCACTAGTTCCTGGGCTCCATTCAGTGAGATGGGGAGAGGCAAACAAGTGACCACATGGACAAAATGTGCCCTGAGCAGGTCAGACAGGGACAGTCTGCTGCAGACACTGTGGGTGAGGCAGACAGCAACTCATTTGTAAGCTGGGCTGTTGAGGGACCTCCCAATCCCTGTAGGTGCTCCGGTGGGACACAGCTGCCTGGAACCCTCTGCTCCTGCAGGATGGGCGTGCCCAGGTCTGGTGTTAGGCCAAGGTCATGAGATTGTTTCACAGGCTTTGAGAAATCCGCTGCCTGGCTGCCCCCTAAAGGAGGTACTTCCTTGGCACAGACAGGACCAGAGCCCTCTGGCAGACTCAGCAACAAGAAGGCCCATACCCGGACTCTCTCATGCTCGGCGACCCTCGGGGGACGAGGCCCACCACTTTGGGGGCCTGGCTTGAGCTCTGAGCATTGCTGGGGGCAAGATGGAAGGACAGGAAGGTCTTCTCCTCCGAGATGCCCATGGGTGCCAAGGAGTCTGGACCGAGGTTGGCTTCCAGCAGAGGTTCAGCTGGCGTGGGCTCCAAGGGCCCGAGGGGTGGCCCTGGGGGTGAGGACAGGTCCCCACAACAGCAGCCACAGCAGGGGCTGGCCACAGTGTGGGCCTGACCAGCCTCCTCTTGGCCATGACACTGCTTCAAGTGGCCACACAGGTGGCAGGTGAGGGCAGAGTAGACAATGCCACTGGCCAGGTCGTCCCTGAGAGGGTCAGCAGCCTCCTGTGGGGGCAGTAGGGGCTTCTGCTTATACTCCTCTCTGACCTTTGGCTCCAGACTAAGGCCCTCTGGGGAGGAGCCTGGGAGGAGTGGACTCTGGGGGCCGAGAGGTGGCTCCACATCCAGGCCAAAGGTGAAGAAGGGCACGGGGACAGGGGCCGGGTCCCCAGTGCAGCTGGCAGTGAGGTTGTGGAAGGGTTTGTAGCCCCCGTCCCCACTGCCGCCCCCAGGCCCTGCCATCCCAGCCCAGGCGGTACTGTCAGTAAGCAGGCTGGAGGAGGCCTTGTGTCCAGCTTCTCCTGAGGGACCAGGGGCCCCGGTGCTGTCTTGGGGGCCACCCTGCCTCACCGCCTGCACAAATTCCCGGTAGCCACTACAGGAGGTGACAGCGGGGGCCAGGTTGGCCCCATGCTGGAGGACACTCTGGCGGAGGATTTGCTCCCAGGTTTGTGGCTCTGAGGGCTTGGGTGTGCCAGGACTTGTGGGGTCCCCTTCCTTCAGGCATTCAGTCTGAGGGGGGTCTGGGGCCAGCTCTCCGGAGCTCTGGGCCTGGCTCTGAAAGTGGCTGAAGCTGCGGTAGGTGGGACTGTCCTCGAAGACCGGGGGCACCTCGGTGCAGGCCAGGCCCTGGGCCGCACTGGCCTGAGGTGAGGGCCCAGTGTGCAGAGGCTGCTCCTTGTCCCAGCAAGCTGCCCCCAGAGCCCCCGGGCTGGGGAGCAAGGCCCAGGGTGTCTGAGCACTCGTGCATCCGGGGGGCAGCGGAAGGCAGGGCCCCCCTGGGTTTGGCTGGCAAATATCCCCTTCCTCGGCCCCCAGCAGGCCCAGGATCATGCTCTCTGCCAGCTGGGCCGCAATCCTCTCCCTGCCATCTGGGAAACCACCCTCACTGCCCTCCAGGGATGTGCAGAAGTCCTCTTTGTGCCCTCTGTCCTCCTCTTCCTCCTCCTCCTCCTCTTCTTCCTTTTTTACTTCTGCTGGGGCCTCAAACAACTCCACACACCGCACCACACTGATGGTCTCTGGCAAGAGGACCGTCCTGCTGACCTCCACGGGGCACCACACAGATTTCCCGGGGCTGTGGAAAGGCCTGTTTCTGGCAGCCTTTGGGAGATCTTCATCCTTTTTCACGCTGTGCTCTAGCAAACAGGGCAGGAGCTTCGTCAGACATGTCTTCCAGTGTCTGTAACAGCAGAGCTTGGTCAGGGTTCAATATTGGCACTTGAAAAACTCCTACTCATCCTTCAAAGCCCAGTTTGAAATCATGCTCCACGGATATCTATGTAATGCAGACATGGTTCCTGACTCTATAATCAATACCAATGAATCTGTCTTTACTGGTGAACTGGAAACTCTCTGAGGGCAGGGCTTATTAGTTTCTTTTGGATTTCTGGAACCCAGCCCATGGCCTACCTAATGCAAAGTTGGTCTACTGAATAAGGAAAAGTCTTTATCAGGGACAGTGGTGTTCAAATACAACACCACGGCCTAATCTATAATAGAAAGGGTGGAGGGGTTCTAGGGTTGGGGCAGGGTCTGGACCACTGTGCCAGGAATAAAGTCTGACAGGTTACACAGTTGACCTAGTGTAATGCTCAGCTTTCTCCAGGCTGCAGGGCACTCCCAATGGGCTCAGAAAGTACGTGGTCAGCAGTGACTCAGAGGGCTTGGCCAGTAGCTCACAGCAGCCCTTTCATCACCTCCAAGGCCAGGAAGTGAAGGAACTGTGAATTCTGCTATTGGCTCCAGCCCCCTCCAAAGCCACACAGGCTAAGTCCAGATACATACGGGCATTTCCTGGGCTCCTGGCCCTGGGGCCGCTTCTCCCATGGAGACACCTAGAACAGAAAGGCCAGTAAAGCAGAGTGGAAGCCAGCTTGGCAACGGCAACTCTCAGGATGCATCTGTCTGGCTGGAAGTCCACAAAAGTCACTCAAACTCTCTGATCTCAGCTTCCTGGGAATTAATGAGAAGGTCCGAACACTAATAATAACTTTGTGTGGCAAAAATTAGCCCAGGACTCTGAGGCTCCCTGGACCCCGGGTCTAAGCTGGCTGTGGGACTTCGTTTGATAACCGAGGGTGCTGTCGTCTGAGATCTCGGGGTTGAGAGGCTTTGCAGCTTCCCTCCCTTGAGACCTGGCCACCAAGCAAACAGGTTTGGGAGGTTCAGCCACCCCCATGCCTGTGAGTCGGATGGTCACTGGGACTGTGAATGGGGCCGCCTGGCCAAGCCCTGGCCAGCCTCCTCCTGCACACACAACACAGAGCACAGCCCAAACCGCCAACCAGCAAAGCAGGAGCTACATGTGGTGGTGGCTGTAACGTTTGGGCTCTAGGGGCGGTTGTTACCCAACAAACGCTACCAATAAAATAAACAACACTCAGTATATGCAAGATTCTATGACTTGCAGTTTCTATGCACAATTTTAATTCATTCCCAACCAGTAAACATGACACAAAGGAGGAAACTGAGGCTCAGAGAGGATCAGCAGCCTGTGTGAGTCTACACCACAGGCAGTGGCAGGACTGGGACTCAAAGCCGGCATTGCCTGACTCTAGAGGCTGCTAGAGCGCCATCCAGACAGGGCCTGAGTCCCCCTCCCTGCGACCTTGGGAGCCCTGGCCTCTCTGACCCCAGCCCAGTTCAGAGGCAGCCGCAGGGCTGCTCTCCAAGGTGCCCACTCTTTCCTGGTGATCGCCTTAGGAAAGAGTGCAGGGAGCACACGGGAGCTCCGGGAGCTGTCAAGAGCAAAGCACTGCTCCCCTCTCCACTCCTCCTGGTACAGGAGCTTCCTGGAGACGACACAGGTGACCCATGCTGGAGACCCACCCCAGAGGCAAAGGCCACTGTGGAAGCTGAGGGGAGAGGAGGCCTCGGGCTTCAGGGACCACAGGGGCCAGGCCTTTAAATCAAGTGTCTCCTGTCACTCCAAAGTCAGCGGACACCCTCGGCCCCCCTGGGGCACTGACCTTCCTTGGGCCCCCTGGCTGTCTCACCTGGGGGTCCTGAATGACAATGGCCACCACTGGGCTGCAGGCTGGGTTGGGAATCTGGTCCCACCACTCTTTCTTGATCCTGAGAAACAAAGGGAAGACTGTTGGCCCTGGATGAATGACCTGTGAACACCGTCCTGGCCATGGGTCCAGGCTAGTTGGGGAGTCACACTTCTAAGTCCCTGTCCCCGTACAGGGAAGTGAATTCTTCTGCAAAGAAGACAGGGAGGCCCAGAGAGGGGATGGACAGGAGAGGAGTGGAGCGAGCTCATGCCTGGGTTCTGCTGCCTGGCAGGGAGCAAGGCCCCAGGGAACCAGGGCAGCTTCAGAGGAAGGATCTGGGTCTCCTCCTGGGGATTCCTGGAGGAGCAGAAGCAGCATCTCTTCCCCCTACCCACCCGAGGCCACGGCACTTCCAGACAGGACAGTCTGACCGTCTTTGGATTGACCTCCGCCTGAGGTTAGCCAGTACATGCATTTGTTTGTTTGCTTGCTTGATTATTTCAGTAGGGGGAATTAAACCCAGGCTCTCTGCACTGAGGTACAGCACTCATGCCCCTCACCCCCTTGGAGATCTTAATAAGTTGCACAGTTGCCAAGACTTGGCTCAATCTTGTGATCTTCCTGCCTCAGCCTCCCTGAGTTCTGGGATTACAGGTCTGCACCACTATGTCTGGCTTCCCGACCTATACTAATTGAGCATCTAGTATGTACCAATCACTGTACCAAGTTCCAGAGCCACAACAGGAAGTGAGACAGATGGAGGCCCCTGCCCTTGTGGAGCTGACCTTTAAGACAGGGTGAACAGGGAAGATGTGGACATGGAAATGACTGGATGGCATCACTGCTTCTTGGTGGCAGGTGCCACAAATAAGGATAATGATGACAGAGGGCTAGAGAAGTACGAGGAGGGGACAGGAGAGTGCGGTGCAGGGGTGAAGACGATGGGAAGGTGGGGAAGGGCTTTCTGGGCAGGGCAAGGCATGTGCAAAGGCTCTGGGGAAGGACACGGGTAGCACTGTTGGGGAACTGCCAGTGAACCAGGTGTGGTTCTGGAAGCTGAGGCAGGAGGATTGCAAGTTTCAGTCCCATCCGGGCAACTTAGGGATACCTGTTTCAAAATTTAAAAACAAAGGGCTGGGGATATAGCTTAGTAGTAGTACATCCCGGGTCCAATCCTGCTGGGGTGCTGTGAGAAAGGGTGGGAAGAGCCAGGTAGCAGAAAACCTGAGGCTCAGAATGGCACCAAGATTGGCCTGTGGGTACTGGAGGGCAGGAACAGTGGAACACAGCGGGATGGGTGTTCCCTGCAGACCTGGAATGTGCTCAGCCTGAAGTGGCCCCTCACGCGTCCTTTCTCGGCCACCTCTGGCCCCTGTGTGGAGGGAGGGATGACAGGGACAGGGGACAGAGGTGTAGAGGCACTACGACTCCAGTCAGCTGGGACCTGTTGAACACAGTCTCCTTCTGCCGCCCATCTTCCCCGCCCACACTGGGACTCAGTGCGTCTCTACCCGGGGCCATCAAGGCCACGACCAGGGCTCCTCTCAGTGCTGGCCAGACCCTGTGCCTCCAGGGCAACAGGCACCACCTCCACCTCCCCTGTGTCCAAGGAAGGCCCTTGCTTCCTGCCCCTCCTCAAAGAAGTCTGTCCCAGCCCTCATCTGAAGTGCACCCCAAAACATCCCTTCCCTAAACCCAGGTCTACACCCATCAGATTGAGTGTCACTTTCAAGACCTTCCCGGTACACCCGATGGGCTGCACTAGGACACGGGAACCTAGGGCCTGGTCAGCCTGTTCCTGGCCCTTGTCTCAGCACCCAGTGCACAGCAGCCACTCAGTAAAGGTGTCCTCGGACAAAGCGGCCCCATGTGGACAGATCAGGACGAGTCCCTCCCGCCCCGGCTGTGTAGCTGTAGCGGACTCACTTGGTGATGCTGCAGTAGCAGGACAGGCAGATGAGCGCGATGAGGAAGCAGGAGATGATGACGCCCAGCTTGAGGCGCTGCTCCAGGGGCTGCTCGTAGTCTGTGGGGAGGTGAGGGAAGCGGTGAGCCTGCACCGTGCTGCCCCGAGGGCTAGGTGCTGGGCTGGGGCCTCCGAGACCCGGTGCTGGGACTCTCCCGCCTGCCTGGGGCCCGATCTCCCTCTTGAACTCAGTGCTCACCAGCCGCTGGTGCCCGCACTGTCCCGCCCCCCAAGCCCTCAGCTTGACCTTGCTGCAACACACCTACTCAAGGGGCAGCCTGCAGGCTCAATGCCTGGCTGTCACAGCAGCCCAGGACCGCACCCCTATCCTGTCTGTGCCCGGGTGATCTCATCTGCACCAAGGGGTTAATGATGAGTGGCTCCCGGGAATGTCCCGAGGACAACACGGATTTAGTAACAATGCTGGCTCCCTTTCCTGTTCACTTCCATCGTCCCATCCCAAAACATTTCCTTGACGACTTCCACCACAGCCGCTCCCATCACGCCACCCCCAGCTCTGCCTCACTTCTTCCTCAGCGCTGTCACCTGGATCTAGCTGATTCCTTTCTTTGTTTACTTGTTTAGTTTTTGTTTCTGCCTTCCAGAAGGCAGCTCCAAAGGGCAGGGACCTCTGATTCCCCAGAGTCTATTCACACAGTAGCAGCTCAAGGATTACTCGTCAGAAATAATTTGCAAGCGTCCAGCACCTTCCGCATCTGTTCCATTTCCCACCCCTTTCCCAGGGCAACGGCAGAATCAAACCTACTCGACCTCCGGAAGCCCTGGGTAGTTAGCCTTGTGCTGGACACTGAGGACAGACACAGCTGATTCCACCTAAAGGGCTCACCCTTCCCAAACCAGCAGCATTCACGCAGGACTGTAATGCCACCAAGAAATGCATGTCTACAGTGTTACACCACGGCAATGTCAGGTTTATTTGTTACTGCAGCCCAGCCAGCAAAGCCTGACCAGTTCAGCTCGTCAGTTACATGCAATCAGAGGAGCTTCCGGTACAAAAGCCCCGCGATTCAGCCTGGGGAGCGACGGGCAGTAGAGCTGTCCCCGCACAGGGCATGAGACTCACAGTTGTTCCACTTGGTGCCAGGGCTCCACTCACTCCAGATGCTGCCATCCAGCTGAGCCAGGGCCCTCACCCGCGCGACATAGGAAACCCCGGACATCAGGTCTCGGGCTTCGAGGTGAAAGGTGGTTTCCTTGTAGGTCAGGTTGTAGATTTTGACCTGCTGGGGAAAGGAGTCGTCAGTGCCCAGCTGGCATGAAGGAGCAGCTCCCGCCTCAGCAGCTGTCCTTGGCTGATCTCAGGACGCTGAGGAGCCGCCGGAGCCGCTGGCCTAAGGATTGATGGAGCCATCTGCCCCTTCAAGCCACTGTTTCCCACCTCTAGGGCTGTGACCAGAGTAGCTGAGACGGGTCAGGCGCCTCACCCTGCTGGTTCACTGTATTATACTGAGTGAGCTTTCTGGGCTTATGTTTCTCATCTGTAAAATGAAGGTAAGAGTCTTTACTGCCACTTTCTGTGTGACCTTCAGAAATGACATAAGCTCTCTGAACCCTGATGTCCTCTTCTGCAAAAGGGGGATATGGAAAGTAAGTGCCTGCTTCCAGGGTTTACATAGGTGAGCACTCACACCGGGCTGGGCACACAGCAGTCTCTCTGGAGTTCCTGAAGGGCCAGTGCATTTATACACTTAAGTGATGTGACCCTGCGAGGTCCAGCCTGCTACGAAAGCTCTGCCTCCATGACACTGAAAAGGCCACAGGGAAAGCCCTCAGGGTGGACTTTAGGCCTGCAAGGACCTGGATGCCATCTGCGTCACAGGACCTCAGACCACCCTGCAGCCCCTGCAGCCCTGTCTGTCTTCACTGTGGGGGGCACTGCTGAGCCAGAAACTGGCCCGAGCCCACAGATGTCACACGTGTGCAGCTGCTAAGGTGGCGGTGACATCATGGCACAGCAGCAGGAAGCAAAGAGCCACAGCAAACACTCGTGCCACTGGTGTGGGACAGGCGCTCCTTTAGGGGACAAGGCGCCTCCAGGCCCAGAGTCTGCCCGACCTTCCCCTCCTCCCTCCTGGCACAGGGAGGCCATGGTGTTTGATATCTGGCAAGAGGACCACAGGCTGGGTCTTCTTGTACCATGGGAATTTTTTGCTTTATGTAAACATTACTTTTCCCCACAACACAGTTTAGAAAGGAGGTCTGGAGTAACAGCTCAATGCTGACTTAGGGAGGGACCTCCATGTGCTGCCCAGGAGCCGCCTGCCTAGGTGCTCAGGCCTGGCATGGCTTCCCGGGCTTGCAGCATTTGAGGAAATGGCCTGGTGCAGGGAGAGCAGGGGGTGGGCACAGGAAGGAAGTCATGCTGCGGGGCCGGGGGCCGGGGAGTCTGGGCCTACGGGTACTTGCTAGCACCATGGAGCTGAGGGGTGTGTTGGGGAGCAGGAAAGGCAGAGAATTGCTCATTTCCTCTGTGCAAAGCCACAGTCAGGAGGCTGTTCCCAAGGTGCCCCACCACCTGCAGGAGTGGGGTACTGCAAAATGTTTTATCAGGGGACAAAACAGAAAGCGCAACTTCCAAGGAACTATTTGTTAACCAGGCGGCAGGAGTTCAGATCCTGGTTAAAACAGCAGCTCTGCCGCTCCCAGCGGTGGGATCCTAGGCAGGCTGCTAGAGCCCCTAGAGCCTGTTTCCCTCATCTCTTAGACACAAGAGAAAGGGAAACCACTATTTCTGTCAGAACGGAACGCATGGCCCCAAACAGACTCATACCCTCATTTCTGCTTGTTTACTACATATTTCTATACCACAGATTCTATATCTTTATAAACCTCAGATAGTCTACCATCTCATGGGATTCCCTCTGCCTGGCTTACACTTCTTTTTTTCCCCTATATAGAAAAATCCTATGCATCCTTCAACATGCAGGCTCAAACTCCCTCTCCATTAAGATAGCCTTGGCTAGAAATCATCCAGGAAAATGTGTAGCTGTACCAAGATTCCACTACACATTACTAATACCTCTTCTTAGAATTTAACCCACCCAGTCTAAGCCACAGCTGGAGTTTGCAGTAAGCATAAACAGCTAGAGACCAACCTGGCTTCTATGCCACTGAGTTTATGTACTAACAGGGTAGGTCCCCAGCTTCAGGGATTAATCCTCATGTGTGGAGACCAATCCCAGTCCCCAGCCTGTGACTGGTGACAGAGGAGCATGTGCCCAGCTCAGATAAGAGAATGAATTCTTTAGGTTTAGCTCTGTGGTTGGAAGAGAGACAGGAGTAGCAGGACTCAGTAGCTTCTGCCTACCAATAGGAAAAGCTGAAATTCATCCTCTGCCTCAGCCATGGCCAATCAGAGCACTTCACCAGCACTTACAGCCCCCTCCCACACTCTCACTCCCACCCCTGGTGGCAAATTGGGTAGGCCAAGGAAGCACTGACTGCAGGATTTTACTGGGACTTGGGGCAGGGGAAAGAAAACTGTGGGCTTCCCATTAGCGCTTTGGAAATTAGACCTTGAACTGCTAGGGGACACATTTGCCATTACACGGGGAAGAGCTTGCTTAAAAATGAAGCCAATACACAATAAAAGGTGGCCAGAAATAAACATCTGCTCCGTAGTGGGGTACACCTTCAATCCCAGCATTCAGAAAGACTAAGGCAAGAGATCTGCAAGTTCGAGCCTAGCCTAGGCAATTTAGCAACACCCTGTCTCAAAAGAAAAGAAAGGGTTAGGGATGTATCTCAGGTCCTCCTGGCTGTGACAAGGAGTGACCTTCCACTTTGGGACTCAGGTTACCAAAGTATGTGGCCAAATTGCCACCTACACTTTCACAGGTCCCCCTGGCAGGAATGTGACTCTCAGTCCTCTGGCCGACCAGGGGTGGGGAACACAAGTCTCACTCGGTGCACTGAGCCCATGTGCCCATGCCGGCCATCCAGCTGGGGCTACCTCCTGAGGCCAGGGCTCAGGGCAAGGTCTCAGCCCACCCACCCACTTGCTTCTTGGGGTTGCGACAACCCGCAGCCTACTCACGTGCTCTGGCTTGCTCTCACTGGAGACTTTGACCTGGTGGGTGAGCCTGGAGTGCAGGTAGTTCCAGGGTGGGTACAGGCTGCTCCACGACAGCAGCCACCCAGTGGAGACGTTGGTGCTGACCGTGAGGTTCACCGGGGCCCTGAGTTTCACTGTGAGGAGAAAATACGATGTGAGGGGCTGGCAGGGAGATGCAGAGGGCACAGCTGCCCAGCACGCACACTGGCTATCTCGTATCCAAACAGCCACGGGGGCCACGCGGATTAGAGCCTGTCTCCAAAAACTGAACTAAACTAAAAATAGCTGGGGATGTAGCTCAGTGTGGAGGCCGCTCCTGGTACTGGTGATACAATGCTGCAAAACCTATACAGCACTTCAGGGTTTACTGGCTGTCTTTGTCCGGGAGGGCAAAATGCACAGGTCACAGTCACTCCACTGGTTTGTCACCTCTGCCGTCCCACTGTGGCCACTTCCGCACACTGCGTGGTTATTTCCTCACTATTTTGGCTTCATTTAGATTCACCCATTTAAAACTCTTTCTAAGAATCATATCCATGAGCTCATGACTACAAATATGCATCATTAAAAGCAACATACAAATGGAAAAATTATTATTATTCTTTTGTAGTGCTGGGGATTGAGCAAGGTCTCATATGTGGTAGGCAAGTTCTCTCCCACTGAGCCCCAGATGCTAAAAATAATTTTAAAATTTTGCACGATTAAGATGCGATATATGTACATATCATTTCCCCAAGATGAATGTAATTATCACAAACAGAAGGTGATAAAAAATTCTTCTCCTAGAAAGCCAGTTGCAAAAGTAAAGTAAAATGTATTTGTGAGTCAGTTCCGGTTACCCTGGGCTAGCCGTGATCTGGGCAGACCTGCAGAAGAGAAAACAGTTCTTCTGAAGACTTAGTCTAAGCTTTCTCTGCTGTGAACTCTCTGTGACCTAAAGCAGATTACTCACCTCCACTGAGTTCTAGGTTATTCAACTGTAAAATGGGGATAACAACTATCTTTTGGAAACTGAGGCTCAGAGAAGCTAACATAACTTGCCCCAGGTTGCACAGCAATATTCCTGCTTTAAATTCCTATTTTTAATGACACTGGAGCAAAGTCATGGAGAAACTATTGTGGGGACTTGGCACAGGACACGGTCAGCACCACCTGGAGAAGCAGCTGCTAAGTGGCCGATGGCGGGGAAGGACAGCTTTCAGCTTATCTTTATAGATTCCCAGCCAGCACGCAGCCAGCTTGTGTGATTTCAGCACGCCTTCCCAGACACTGACATCCAGGGGCTTATCAGCTGAGCTGAAGGGGACCTGACATATAACTGAGCTCTACCCCATTCCAAGATGGGGAGACTGAGGCCCAGAAAGGGGCAGGAAGCTCATCAAGCTCTGAGGATGTGCGGGCCCACCTCCCCACCTTGCAGTCCACCCGCCAGCCCTCACCATGCTGGCTGGGTGTGAAGTTGTGGCTCCACAGCAGCTGCGTCCCGGCCCACAGGTCCAGCTGATACATGTCCGTAGTGACCAGGTTTTGCATATCCATGTGACACACGCACACCGCATCAGCACTGTTCTCGGGGACACAGGTGTGGCTTCTGCAAACACAGTGAGGGTCAGGCTGGTCCTGTGGAGGCTGCTGTGTGTGCAGTTATCCCCGAGCTGGGCCTCCCACACTGTGTGCTCCCCTGATTTGAGGACAAGACCTGGGGGCCTGACAGGAGCTGAGGTCTGGTAAGGACAGAGGACTTCACGGCCCTTCCACCCCTAGCATGGACCCGTCTCATTTCCCCCAGCGGCAGGCCCTGCCCTGGGGCTTAACTCATTCCTGCAGGTCCAGAGAGGCAAGAAGCTGCGCATTAATAATCTGTAACATGTGCGCCCTTCCCTGTAGGGTTTGCACCGGCACTGTGGGCAGCAGCAGGCCTTGGCACCCCACCTACAGGCACACGTCATGCAGTGCCTGCAATGATTTCTGTAAAGACCAGGAGGTCAATATTTTGGGCTTTGGGCAGTTTTTATCACAGTTTTTCAGCTCTGCTGACATAGCACAGAAAAGCATGGAAAGAGCCTGGCTGTGTGCTAATAAAACTTTATTTATAAAAACAGGTAGTAGGCCAAACACGGTCCAAGGGCCAGTCTATCCCTGATCTACAGTAATGTACATATCACAGCCCATCAGAGAATCATGTCCTGGAGAGCCTGATGTGCCCTGAATCACACAGCCCAACACCTGAGCTGCCTGTGTGTCTTTCCAGTCTCCCACCTCACACAATACCTGCTGTAGCAGGTCACCCTCCCTGCTCATCAACAGCCTCGTGCAGTGACTCTGGGGTCACTGGGTCAAAGTGTCACCGCAGTGGCTTTCCACGCTATTTGTTTTGACACTTTCTCCACCCTTTTGATTCTTTCTCAGTTTCCACAAGACTCTGGAGTTTTTCAGTGAATATGTGACACAGAGAGTCTCCACTCAGAGGCCTCGTTGAATGTGTCCTGGGTGCTGCATCTGGGATCTAATGAGGACGATACAGACAGATGCACACTGCTGGATAAAGCTTCTTGGGTGTGACTAGTAATGAGCGCACCCAGGGCTTCAGGTCCGCGCAGATTGAGACTGCTGGTCCTGTGCCACACTCCAGCCAGATCCACGCGCCACACTGCGGCGACAGCACTGCCTCACTGCACCTGACCGCATGTCCCAAGATGCGTCCGCGTCTCACAGTGCACCCCGAGGGCCTGGGCAGCCCTGCTCAGCACCCTGCCCTCCTGTGAGCCCGGCTTACTCTTCCTCGGGGTCTGGGTTGAACAGGAGCTGGTAGGACAGGCGGAGAGCTGCGCTGCAGTTCAGGAGCCGGTCCAGCCGCCATTCGCAGGTGGAGAGGCTGAGGAAATCTGACGAGCAGGTGGGCTTCTGCAGGACCTTCAGGCTCCCTGTGGGGACAGGGGACCACCTGAGCAGCTGGGAAGCCATGGCCAGAACATTCGCATGACCAAGGCAAGTAGGGAACCAGGACCAAGATGCAGGTGCCAGGTAGCGTGCTGCCAGTGCCATGGTGTGAGGCGGGAATGGAGTCCCTGTGGGTTCTCAGCAGGGTGCAGGGTGATGGGGAGGTTGGGGGCTGAATGCCCCTTATTCTTAGAGTAACTCAGCTTCTGGCCAAGGCAAGGAAGGAAGGTGCTAGGAGTCCACTGCTGGCCAAAGCCCCAGCCCTGGGGCACTGCGAGTGGACACGTAGCCTCTCCTCCACCTGCCCACTCCCTGTACTCCTTGTCTCCCCATCCCTCTCTGCACTGAGGCTCCCATCCGCAGGCTCAGGTGCCTCTGTCCCCTGGCTCCCAGGGGTTTGGGGCAGTTGGAGAGGGGAGGACAGGGTGAGGATTCCTCTTTAGCCCCCTCTGCTAGCTTGTCTGAGTGCTCCGGACCACCTGCTCCTGACCTTTGGCACCTTTTTATTCCTCGGCTCAGCACTGACACCAAGGCACATTTGTCAGTGGGTTAAGAGCTGCCCCATTAGGAGAGCAAAGGCACGGCCTCTCCTCCCCAACACATCTCAGAACTGACTACGGTGTCTTTCCCTGAGGCTTGGGTCAGAAGTCTTGGAGCCACCTTGACACCTCTTCCTCTCTCACAACCCAGTTCCAATCTGTCCCCCAAACTACCTTCCAGATGGCCCTGGACACTGTTCACCTGTTGCCCACCGCCGGCCTCCCCCCGGCCCCTCCTCCCCAGCAGCTGGGGGAATTCCTGGAATCTAACAGAGCAGGTTGCTCCTGGACTCAGGCCTCCTGGACTCAGGGCCCTGTCCCTTTCCTCTCCTGCTCCTCCCTCATGCCCAGCTGGCTCTCAGCAGTGCCTGTGCTGAGAATGTCCAGCTCCCAGATGTCTGCACAGCCCCCGCATTACCGGTTGGCCCCAATGCTGTCCCTGACCACCAGATTTTAGACCATAGGCCCCAGCCCTTACTTGTTCTGTGTTGTCGTTTTCTATCACCTCCAATGATCTTTAGAATTTACCTCGAATTATTGTCGTTACACTTCCAGAACAACCTGGATTTCAATCTGAATTGATACTTTAAAAAAACTACAGCAAGGACAATATGTCCTCGACTGTCCCTGAGGATCTTTGTTTTGATCCCTGATGGGCCCCAGGACCTTGGCAGGAGTCGGAAAATGAATGATGGAGAGGTAGACTTACCACAGCCTGCTGCCCACGCCAGAATCAGGCCGGTCACAGGGAACAGGAGGTCAGAGTGAAGCCGCCCCATGGGGAGATGCTGAGGCACCTGCAGAGGGACGGCAGCGGGTTAGAGCCTGGCCACGCTTCCCAGCCAGCACCTCTGCCTGTCAGCAGAGTCATCGGTGCTCACCACCTTCTTTCTACAAGCACGGGACGCCACGGGAGCCAGAGGCTGAGCCACTGACGGCCCGTCCTCAGACACGTTTCTTTGTGCGCTTGTTCTGGAGATCCCTCTGCACACGTGCACTTATGTCCAACGCCTGCCCCAGCACTTACAGCTGTGAACACAGAACATACTGCGCTTTGGTGGCTCAGGTTTCTGTCTGTTAAGGGCTATCTAACATCTCATGGGGGTGTCCTGGGCATTATATGAGCCCTTACCCAGTGACCAGAACATAGCAAAGGCTCAAGGAAGGTTAGCAATCATCTTAGTCCACGGGGCTCCTGTAACAAGCACACTCTGAGAGGGGATGGCTGCTGAGGAGATATGTGTCGCTCACAGCTACGAAGCCTCTTAAGACCCAGCTGCCTGCAGTCTCTGTTTCACAGATGGCACCTGCCCCGTGTCCTCACAGGACAGAGGGCAAACAAGCTCCTTGAGGACTTCCATAAGGATATGCATCTCTGTTTATCAGGGCACTTCCTCAGAGGCCCATCGCTTAGGCTAGGAACGGGAGGGCACATTCAGACAGATCATCGGTTATTAAGAAAAATGCTCAGGGGCTGTGGATGGCTCCCGGTGCTAGACAGCTTGCCTAGCATGCCCTGGGTTTGAACCTTTGTACTGCGGAAAAAGAAAGCAGAGAAGGTAATTTGAAAGCAGAACCCCACAGAGTTCACATGTGTGCACATTTATTCTAAGACACCTGCTGTATAATGTTGGTTTCCTCTAAAAAGTTATGTGCTGGATTACATTCCTTAGCAATGCTAAGCAGGCTCACTGCCCCAACATCCCTGCTTGAGATCTATCTATCCTGAGATCTCATTCCAAAAACCTACTCCGGAGGCCAAGGCGGGAGGACGGCAAGTTCAGCCCAGCCTGGCGAACATAGGGAGACCTGTCTCAAAATAAAATTTAAACAGGGTTGCAGCTGTAGCTCAGCCCAAAGGTCCGAAGCTCAGACAAAAGAAAGAAAGGCAGAGAGGGACAGAGAGGAAGAGCACTAATCAACGGCAACCCTTCCAGCTAAAGTCCAGGGGTCTTCAATGAAGCAGACTGAGAAGCCAGGGAGAGGGAAAGCTGTTTTACCCACCCCAGTGGTCTCTAGCAGCTCCTTGAAAAATTCCCATGAATCATTAATTATTAAAGTTCAGAATACAAGCCAGGATTAAACTGGTTGTAAGAGACACTACCTTTCCCTGGTGGCTGAGGCCAGCAATCCCCAGAGTAGGACAGACGGACATCATGAGCTTTGTGAGACAATGCCCCAAAGGAGCCAGCACAGGTTCTGCTCTCCTGTGGAAGGTCAGTCAGCTGCACCAGGGATGCTCAGGCGTGGGCCTGGCCTGTAGGGTCCCAAAGTTGCCACCGGTACCAGACAGGGACAGGCAGAGAAAGCCAGAGCTGTGTCACCCAGAGCACCAGGGCTGCCTGGTTCACTGACAAGACGGGCCTGGCAGAGAGCACAGGCTCAGCACATGTTACACGGGACAAAGTTGCTTTGGCCACGCTGCCAGGCCCCTGATGGGAGGGGCAGGGGTGTGAGTGGGGGTGAGTCTTTGGTGCTCGTCACTGTCAAAGTCACAGATGTCCCCGACATCCTGGATGCTGGCAGAGTTGGTAGATGCCTGTTCCAAGACATACTGTAAGACTTCAGCCATAAAGTCCTTCCTCCAAAGACATGTAGGGTGATCAAGCAACCCAGTCAGGGCTGATTAAAACGTCATGTCTGAGCTAGTTTAGAATTCCAGTTACTCAGGAGGCCGAGGCAGGAGGATGAAAAATTCAAGACCAGCCTCCGCAACTTAGCAACACTCTGTCTCTAAATAAATAAATAAGGACTGATATGTAGCTCAGTACCAAGGCCCTGAGTTTCATCTCTAGAACCATCAAACAAAACCAACAAGCAAAATCTGACTCAAGCATGGTGGTGCGCATGTGTAATCTCAGCTACTTGGGAGGCTGAAGCAGGAGGATTACAAGTTCAAGCCCATCCTGGGCTGTATGTCAAAAAAAAAAGAAAGAAAGAGAGAGAGAGGAGGAAAGAAAGAAAGGAGGGAGGGAGAGAAGACAGGGAAGGAGGGAAGGAAAAGGAAAGAAAGGCAAAAAAAAAGGCCAGGGGCTGCAGCTTGGTGGTAACGTGCTCAGGTTCTATCCCCAGCACCCTGAGAACAAAAAATCCAAAATAACCTCCAGAAGACCACCTGGCTGGCAGTCAGGCTGTGTGAAGTGCTGTGGGAGATCCCGGGCACCCACATACCAGCCGCTCCAGAGGGACACAGAGGTGCTGTGTTTCAGGGGACACTGTGCACAGATGCAGTGAGGAAGGAGGACCTGCCGCCCCAGGTGCGGATGAGGACGGGAGTGAAAGGGATGGAGGCCGTGGCGGGTGGCCAGGGCCCGGCCTGTGGCCCGAGGAGGACGTGCTAAGTCCAAGTTCACTAGGAAGCACAGGATTCTTGCCATGCTGGAGTCCCACAGGACCTCAAGGGAGGTGTCCTTGGTCAGCTGCCAGTCTGGCCCTGTAAAGGGCCATGTCTGACATGCGGCCAGCTTCTTCTTGCACCCTTCCCCACACAAGGCTTTCAGTCCAAGGCCACGCTCATTCTGTGCAGAGACAGCTCACTGCGAACAGCTGTCTGATGTTGGGCCAAGGCTTTGTGCGCACAGCTCTTGCTTGTCCAGCTCTTACGCTGGGCTTGCTAAACATCTCAGAAAGCTGACTTCACCCAACCCAAGAACCTGCCAGGGAAATTGTTATCTCCACTCGCCTGCCGAAGAAAGTGAGGCCAGGGAAATCAGGTTACTTGCCATGAGGATCCCACAGTTGGCAAGAGGGCAGAGCAAAATCAGAACGCAGATCTGTCTACTAGGGAGCCCAAGGCTCATTCTGTACTTTAGGTCCTTCAACTCCGCCTGCAACAATGAGATGAAACGAACCGGCCATTCTGCTTATCAGTTTCAAACATCATTTGTCCATGTCCAGGAAGCCTAATGAAGTAGCAGACAAGGCAGAGGGACCCTACTGCCTGCCCTGAGCCAGTGGTGCAGCAACAGCTTAAACAAACAAGCAAATAAGACACCTGAGAAGGTTATAGCAACAGAGACAAGATGCAGGACAAGGGAGGTAAGAGTGCTTACCCTACAAGTGCATTCTTTTGAAAAGAATGATGCAGTGATTATAAAACGGGGAGGACCTGATATTCCAGAAGCCCTAGAAAGTCCTTCCCAAAAGCCCTGCCCTCCTATATCTCGCAATCTCTTCATACACTTAACAAAAATACAAGCATTCATCATCTGCCAAGTTTTCTTCTATGCATTTTACATATATTAGCTTACCTACTACTCAAAGTAGCCTTACAAAGCAGGTACCATGATTTCCCCCATTTTCAGATAAGGGCACTAAGGCTTAGAAGGGTGAAGTATTTGCCTGAGCTTGCAGAGCTGTGACAGGCCTAGGGGTTGAACCCAGGCCTCAGGCTCCAGCACTAAACCACTAACTCTCTCTAACCACTAACTCTAACCACTTAGTGGTCTCTAAACCACTAACTCTACCTAAAAAGAGGTCCTTCGTGCTATAGGACAACTGACTCCTCTGAGCATCTGATGTAATCCAAACCCTCTTCCTAGAAATATGCACGTTTTTAATTTCACACTTCATTTTGAAGAGGTTTCTGGATTCCCCAAGTCCCAGTCCAGATCAAAATCTTCTCCCTGGGTAAGCTGTTAGGGCCTTTGATTAGGACAGTGGTAACATTTTTCAAAAGCCCATTCTGAGCTGTAGGCCTGTAATCTCAGCACTTGGGAGACTAAGGCAGAAGGATCACCCACCTGGTTTCAGACCCACCTGGACGACAAAGCAAGACCCTGTCTCAAAACACCAAAAAGCAAACCAACAAAGCCAATTCTGGGCTGAAAGAAGTCTTGGGGACGGGGAGTCAGTGGTCCTGCAGATGTGGGTCACCCCTCTGTCTCCCTGCTCTGCCCAGAGTTACTTCTCAGCGGAAAACGAGGCCAGGTCTTGCCTGCTCATGTCTGTCAAGGGCCTCAGTCCTCACCTAGCTATAGTCGCTGGGTGCCAAGGCTCACCTGAGAGCATCACCTCTGACTCAGAATAAAACCAGCCCCTGGTGAGAAGAGGACGCATGCCCACAGACCATTCTCTCTCTCTCTCTCTCTCTCTCTTTTTTTTTTTTGGTACCAGGAATCGAACTCATGACCTTATGCTTGCCAGGCAAGCCCTTTGCCATTGAGCTAAAGCCCCAGCCCCTACAGACTGTTCTCGGAATCAGGAGCATGGAAGTGGAACCAGATGGGAGTTGCTGGAGTTCTGGAAGGCAGAGGCAGGAAGGGGCTTGCATGTGGGGTGACCAGGGGACCTTTGTGATGACGGAGCTGTTCAGTGGCTTGTCTGTGGCGGTGGAGACACAAGCCTTTCCTTTAGAAAAAACTGCACACGCACACGCACATGCACTGAGTATGTTCGGCGACCTGGGCAAGACCTGCAATTGTTTCAAAGCCGCATCCCGGCTCTGACACCATACTGTGCACTAGTGAGGTGGTGCCATCGGGGGAGAATGACAGTCTAGCAACCTGCATCTATAACTACCTACAAACTAAAACTTAAATGTTAGAAAAGGGAAGAACACAATCCAAGCCCCTCCGCAGCCTCCTCCGCACTCACGCTTTTCCCCAGACACCTCTCCGTTCCGGTGCAGCACACAGCGCCACGCTCACACCACACGGTTCTCATCACTCTGTCTTATCAGGGTAGTGAGGTTAGGTGTGTGAATTCTTATTTGATTTCAGGATGTGGATGGCAGAGATAGAAAAACTTGACTGCAAAGATTTTTTTCAACTTCCCTAGATCAAAAGAAAAAGGAAAA